TGTGACCCTTTATCAAAAATACAGATGGTACCACTTGAGCGGTGTAGCATGGAGCGTCTGTATACACTATTTATTATGTAGTGATGCTTAGATAATTAAGACAATCCTGGAAGCTATTTTAACATTCAACTTTGAAATCATCTGCAACAGTTTTTTTTCATTCAAGTGGAAAAAGCTTCATTTCTTTACTGCATATTACACATTCTGGTCTTTGGTCAATATTTGCTAACTTACCAAACACAATGATTTCTCTTTTACCTCCCATGAAATCTGATATAATTAGTGTGTAATCGTCTGGCTTTTTGTTGGAGATTTTACACTGAGTGTAATTGCTGCTAATTGGAAGCTGCACACTAAGCTGGTGGTAATTAGGGCTCGATTTGCATTATTCCATTTGGCTGCACTGCATTCTGGGGAGTCTGAAGCCTTCCGCCTGCCACCCATGGGAGTGCTTTGATCCTCGCAAGCCGGAGAAGTTGCAGAGACGCCGCATCAGTCGCTCTCTGCTCTTCCCCAGATCGCTTTTTGAAAGCTCTTGGATAAATTGGAGTTAATTGGGAGGAGTGGTAGGTGCCTGTGCTTTCGCAGTAATGAGTGTGTGTGTGTGTGTGTGTGTGTGTGTGTGTGTTTGGAACAAATACAGTGAGATGGGTGGGAAATGAAGGCGAGGGATGTAAATGTAGAGGGACTTTGTTTCACAGTTCCTCAGTTGGTATGTTTGTTCTCTCTTTAAGTCAAGCACATACTCTTTTACTAAATATCCTTTTACAATCCTTTTATAGTTGCTGGTCACATTATTTAAAATATCTTAATATTTCAAATAGACTGATTAGATGATTAACTCCCCGGGATTAATAGTAAGGACGAGCAAAATGACCCCTGCTGTGATAAGATGGAAACGTCTCCGGGTCTGTGACCCCGACATTACCTCCGGTAAGTGTCGTAAACAACATTAGCTGAGGTGAATTAATATACACACGCGGAGAATGTCTCGTCTAAACCTCATCGGCTGGGAAGTGGGAAGGCACGGCAGTAATGCACGTGTAGAAAATCACTTCGGCAAGACTTAATCATGTCGAACAATTTCAGCGGGAAAGGTATTTGGTCCCGTTTTCATTTTAATTTCAGTCCGGAGATTCCATCTATGTGATCGCTGCCAGCGTTTGACAAAGGGCCGGTGCTCCGGCAACCAGTCCTCAACATGACAAATCCTCAATCTGCCGCCGCGCCGCCGTTTCTTCTAAACACATGGTTTATGCAAATCAAAGCAAAATGATCTTTGGGATAGCGGCGATGTTTGAGCAATTTGAGGGCCGCCGATGGGAACTGGCATTAATATAAAGTAAGGAAGGAGAGAAATGTCCTCTGCATATGCGGGCCTCATTCACTGTACCCAAATTAATTTAGCGGGAAAGGTTATGAATGACTGTTTGTGCCCAAGTGCAGTCGCTTGTGGTGATATATGGAAGCACGTGCACGCCGCTGGCGCTGCTTGCTGGGATAAAGGTCATTTTATTATTTACATAACGGCAAATGCTTCGAAGGGGAACCTGCACCAACAAGTAATATCGTCTCTACCTCTCTGTGTTCACCGTACCTTCTTTAAAAAGGTAAATTCAAATGACACAATACAAAATGGCCAAAAGGATGCCCAAAAATAAACATGCGATCCATGACGATGGCGCCAGTCGTTTGTCCTCGCCAGCTAACAAACAAATATTAATAGCAGCGCTATGAAAGGACCTGCAGAGAGGATCTATTACCATGTTTGAGTGGTGTGATAACGTGATGATTAATAGTGGTGACTTGAAAGTGGATTGGGATTGTTTATTTAGGGGTTTCTTAAATTGCCGGATTAGTATTTTTTTTAGGACAAATTCAGTAATGCGGTATTTCAGTGCAGCAGTTTACTATAATAGTCAACAAAGGAAAGAAAATGTATCTATTGACAGACTCTTGTTTAAGATGAATGTATAACACGGAAAGGTATTTATTTGCAATGCTTGTATTTAATAGTAACCATAGCATTCTATTAGTATTATATGAAAAATCATACCGCTTTTCTAAATGCTCCATTTTCCAAATGAGCGTTGTACTAATCCTGAACCAGCTCTCATACCGAACACCTCTCACATCTGTTTGTGTCTCTGGTTGCCTGCTCAGTTCAATGTAAATAGACATGTGTAGTAGCGCAATTAAAATCTCAAAAGAGCCCCCCCAGAAAAGCATCTCCTTGCTTTATTGAATTGGCGGCGTAACTGTTTTCTTACCTGATTCGGGGGAAAACGCTGCAGGGCCACGTGGATGGATTACTATTTACTACCTCACATAAAACTCCTCCGTCCTCTGTTTCATCAGTAGCCAACGGGATCCACGTCACAACGACTCTGTAATACACACAAACTCAGCGCTCGCAGTGGTGTGTATTAGACGCTGTCTGTCAGATCCCCCCTTTAATCATCATACGACAGCCACCTTTTCATGACCAAACTAATCACTAATTACAAAAGTGTTCGGCGTGAGCCGCGCCACCACGCTGGCCCTTTTTGTTATTATAATTGTTATTTTGAAGAAGGGTGCTCCAGTAAATTCTGCCAAGGATGCCCCGGGAGGATGGATGAGCTCTGAATAATTTATCATGTTTGTGGAAACCCGCTCGGCATGCTGTGTGTGTGTGTGTGGGGGGGGGGGTGGAGGGGGGGCTCTGTTCTTGTTACGGCGAGCGCTCCTCGTCGTCGGCGATTGATGACGAGGTATCTTTCATCTTTGCGTGTCCACCTCTTGCAGCGCCCCGTCATTAGGGCTCCTATTGTCGCCCGTTCATCGTGCGCCGGGTGAATATGACTGGCAGAAGTTTGCCCCCCCCCCCCCCCGTCTTCCCAACCCACCAGCGGCTTTGACTAATTACTCCAGCAAATGCTCCCCCTCTTGATGATTAATGTTGTATTGTGAGATCAGACACCCCCCCCCCCCCCCCTCCCCCCTCCTCTTCCATGAGAGGCGAGTGCGTTCTGATTCAGAGCCGTGCACAACCGTGATAATTATTTTCGTAGATGAATACCGCCGCAGGCAGGATGATGAAGTGGCCACTCGCGTTCGGAGGCTATCACACGCAAACACGGAGCGGCGTCTTTGTCACTGGTGAGAAATCTGGTGTCGCGCAGACCTGCATCCCCAGCGTCTTTCCAACTTGCATCCTGCACACACACACACAGACACACACACACACATTCGCTGCTCTGAATATACAGAATCTGCATTCCCATCTATGCTTCCCAAAACCGTCCCCATATCTTTGCCTCGCCGGTTCGTTTCTATGCACCGAGTTTACATCCCGACTCGAGATGATAAGAGCAGCAGCAACCCGCAGCTCGTCATCGCGCTTTTTGAGATGGGCATATATTACTTCTGTCCAGATAAATCAAATAATCAATGGTTTTCATTAGCCATGGGCATGCCAGGTTTTAAAGGACCCGCTTGGAAATTGTATTTATTTTCTTGCGTAAAGCTCCTTTCCCCTTTTTAGAGGCCCCTGTGTGATCATTGGTGCTGGGCTGAAGATTTGTGAGGAGCCCCCCGGCCAGAGCTGCGTTCAAGAGTAGATCACATAGAGTATGGAGGGGTTCTCCCGTCATAGTTTATGCTACTGAAACCATAAACTGTGTCTTTTACACCTTCACATGATACACTGCAGCTAGTTATTAAAAACCAGGTCATGGTTTGCTTTTTATTACTCAAACATTTTAAATCAATTAAATCTTGGTTATTTTTGTGCCTTTTTTAAATTTTACTTTTAATATGAAATAAAGGGTTACGCTGAAGAATTTAAAACCATTTTGCACTGACATGTTTTTAGGTGCATATCAGTCATCTACTATATGATTCATGCGAGCTTTTCGTGCAGCCAAGCAGAATTAAAGATTTCCAGTATTTTATGAAACGGTGGCAAACTGTAATAGTGTATTTTAGAAATATTTGCGATAAACAAATGCCACCAAAATTAACTCCTGGACAAACCAGGCCCAGGATTCTCCTCACGAGAAGGTTCAGCACCAGTAAAACGGCTATTTGGCTCGAGTCAGGGTTTAGTCTCACGAAGGACCCAAGTGCATGTTGTTCTTTCCTCCCAACTGAGTTGTTAATCATTAACGCATGAGCTGTTTTTACAGTTTAAAAGAGTGGACGTTTGTGCCGCCTGATGCCACATAAACATCTTGTTTTTGCTCCAAAAGGGTTTGTTGAATTTCCAAAAAAGAACACGTTGCTCATGTAATGACAGAAATTATTTTTATTACACCTCGCGGTGCCTCCGGGCCTCTTTCAATGAATACTTCAGACTGTGTTTTAATTAAACCTCCTTCAAAAATAGAAGCGATCTTGTACATGTACAATGCGATGTGGCAATGACTCTTTGAAAGTCAACACGGATCAGACTGATTTACAGACCGGTAAAGTGAGAGGAAGACCGGAAAGGGAAATGGGTGCTGTAGACATTGATTAATATTGGTAATGCCTTCTACCCCCCCCTCCTCTGTTTATAATGGCCTTCTCCTTATCCCGCTAGCTAGGAGACCTGACAAGAGGTGTCCTGCTGAGCTTGAAATGAGCCTGGAATGGAGGCATGTGCCAAAGGAGTGTGTGGAAAATGATCACGCTGGCATCGGCTCCTTGCACAGTGATGCACTCGGTGCTCAGTTCACCTCCAGAGAGGAGGGAAAATAAATGAAAAGAGAAGCACCCAATTCTCGAGATTGAAGATACTGTCATTGTCGACTCCCTCCATTGATTTGGGCCGCAAGCTTTTGTCTCAATGAATGTTTATTTATTTATTTATTTTTTTCCAGGGTTATTCTGGAGCTTAAAAATAAATGAATAAAGAAACGGCAAAAACACAATGCTGTCTTTATGTGCGCTTTGCTCGGACCGAGCGCTAATGCCGGGCTGCTACACCACGCTGGCTGGTAATTGCTAACACATGTGCTACCTCTGTCTCGTTGCAGCCGGCCGAGGGAGTTCTGGCGCCTGGACTACTGGGAGGACGATTTAAGGCGGCGACGCCGCTTCATCAGGAACCCCTTCGGATCCACTCACTCAGAGGCCACGCTCAAAGGCGCCGCCGAGCACGGTCAGTCCCGTCCACCCAGACGCCTCCTGTCGGTGGCGCACACTTGGTGTTCGCATCAGCTACAGGGGTGATAGAAATGAGTCTTCCCTTTGGATTTAGTGTAAAAGAAGATGGTAAAATAGATCTCAACGGTCATTTCTCACACTCATAATCAACTGTGTTTCTGTAGCATGCCTTGCTCAGGAATTACCTTTTGAGTGAAGTGGCTGTGATTTAAATGAAATTATTTTTCTATTCCTTTTTCTTTGCTGCATAACAGTGGCTTATATCAGTGGTAAGTAGCTTTCATGCTCCTATGTTTTTACGTTTGACTGAGGGATCATATGGGGATTTATGCCTTTTCATGCGTTCCTTTACGGCGTAGTTTGTTAGATCGCAGGTAAAAATATCAGAATAGTCCCAATTAAATGTGTATAATTATGACAAATTCATTGGTTGAGAGTGATATATTGAATTGGTCCTCCAGTTCAAATGTTACTCTAGTGAACACAAAGAAAGTGCTATCGAGCAAAGCTTTGTCACTACTCTGCTTTTACCCAAAGTACAAAGTTCTCCTACTTAAACCAACAGCACTGATTACTTTTCCCTCTAGTATTTAAATAAAGCCCATGTATTTGTCATTGTTTCTGTGCTCCTCCCTGTAAAGACGGGTGCCTTTAAAAAAAAATCAGAACCACAGTTCTGAATGACACGTGTCTGCGCGTTGGCATCAGGAGTCTCCTTCAGAGTGCTCCCTCATTTCTCCAGAGGAGTCCAGCAACCGGGGGAGAGGGGGGGATACAGCCATCGTAACGCTGGACCCCGATCAATTACTCTCCCCGGTAAATGGCCGTTTATGGACCAAAAACGTCCTCAATGTGTCACCTGCAATAGTCCCCTTTTTAAACGTGACGCCGTTCCCAAAGACAAATGGCAGGTGTGACAGGAGTCAATATGAATGTGATCTAAAGGCTTCTGGCCGGCGGTAATGGCCGAGGCCAGCTGGGAGCCGCGAGCCTCTGATTTTGACTTTTGTCTCCTTGATTCGGCCCCGTTCTCCCTTCTGCTAGTTCATGACGGAGAACAGACTCCTCATGCCCCCCTATGCTCTCCCGTTGACTTCTTTTAGCCGATTAGAACCGTTGATGTTGAGCCATTCCGGTATTTAGTCTGGTGTGTTGCATTTTTATTCTGTTTCAGATCGCGTGCTGGGTTTGCTCGTCACTCGGGTGGTCGAAAGACAAATTCCTCAAAAAAACCCATTTGCTTTTGAAGCCAAAGTCTGTGTAAAAATAGCCAGCAGCTGGTTGTGGCAAGGGTACGGAACCTCGGGAGAGAGCGCGCTGCCCCGCAGAAGTACGGGGATATATCATTAAAATAACTCTTTGACACGGACGCCCGCCGGCATCCATTTTCTGATGTAACCTTTCGTCTTGTTTCTAGTCGACCCGACATTTGTTGAGGAAGTGCAGCTCAAGATGAGAACGCAGGGCTGAGTTTTCAAACAGAGCACAAAGGTCATATCTGGCTGTAATTATATTCATCAGATGCAGAGGGGCAAAGGCAGTCCTTCCCCCAAAGAAAATATTTAGTATGAGATCAAGCCTGAATTTAGCCTAATTTTCTTGCTACTTGTGGCTGCACTTTTCAAATCTCACGCGTGATCACAGAATTAGATGCGATGGAAAATACTTGCCATTTTTTACTGAGTGTTTTTTTTTTTCCTTTCCTTTTTTAAAAAGAGTCTTTGCACTTGAACATGGAGAAATGTGCATTTCTGTGTTGAGTGCCGGGACAACCGTTGTCATTCATGCAGCGCCAAGAGGATTTCCACAGGAGAGCGCGTGACTCGCCAGCGGGGCTCGAGTAGGCCGTTATGCATTTACGCCTGGAAAGAACCGTCTTTTTTCTGGGGATTGATTTGGTCTGGCCCGGGCCGGCGCACCAGAGGTGGCAGAGTAAATACCTGAAGACTAATGTCTCTGTTCTGGTAATCAATACTCGCCTCATGACCACACTGCTGGCTACGCTCCCGTTAAAAACAAATTTGTTCATTTTGACAATTTAATTGCTGTGACCATGCATGCCTTGAGTTGTATAAGCAGGTAGTTGAACCTCTCACTCGGGGAAATGGGGTCCCAGAAAAGTGTAACCTGTTTGGATTTATGCGAGTGTCTGGCCTGTGATGAGGGATGAAGTCAAAGGGCCTCGGCTTCTTTTGTCAATGTGGCACGTTTACTATTTACATGAATTCTGTGTTGTTGATCTTTTAAAATTCTTATTTGATTTCAAAGACATTTTGATAAGGTGAATCAAGGCAAACCTGGGTTTGTTGTTTGCCCCCCCCCCCACCTTCTTTCCCTTTCTATTATTATTTAAAGCACTATTTATTCTACATTACACTTGTATATTATGCTTTTCAATCCAGCTGTTAAAAGCTGGTACTCCAAAGTTTACCATCATCACTCCCTTAATACGCGCACACACACACTTACAACCCAACCACAACCTCAGAGTTGTCAAATTAAAAGAAGAAAAAAAATAAACACCGTCCATTTTAGGCACAGAGGGAGAGAAGTTAGCGCGTAGCTTGTCACTTATCTGCACGTTTCCTTTATGTGTGACGTGACTGGTCAGAATCGCGTTCCTTGCTAGACTGCTTCTAGTATTTTTGTAGCACTAGTGTGCATTATACTGAGGAGCTATTAATATCTTGTGCTTGAGGGGGATAGCGGGAGCATGGATCAGCCCAGCTGGTTGCATCAGACTGTGTGTGTGTTGCTCGTCAGTACTCTGGGTGGAGAACTGCCGGGCACGTTGCCGGTGAAATGCATAAAAAGTTGAGCTCCATCTCTGTATTTTAATCCCGCGATAAGTCCCCTGTCCACTTGCTCGGTGTGAATACACTGGCATGTGGTACGTATTAGGGGAGCTGGTAGTAATTTCAGTGCTGCTAACTAAAGAATCCTCCTGGGAGGCTTAATTACAGGAAGACCGTTCTAAATATCAGCGAGCTGCACATTTTCCACAAAGAGATTTTTTTTTTTTTGTCCCCGGCTCCTCTAGCAGTTTCAAACTCCGTAGCCACATGACGTGGCCGTCCGTTTTTTAGGAAGTGCAATTGCTCTCCTGTATGGTGATCAAGACAATAAGTCCACAAAGTCTGTTTAAACAAACTTTTACCGGAATGCCGGATTAGAACACATGCACAGAAGCACGTATTGACAGCGATGTTTAGAGAGAGGGAGGACGTGCCAGCCCGTCTTCGTGCCGTCGTGGACTCGTGTCTGCGGATCCTCAGCATGCGCCACTGGGGAATGCGGGGCTCTGTAAATGTTTGCAGATTAACATTTTTCTTAAACAATCCGTTCGGAACCTCAAGTCACGTCGAGTTGAGATCAAAACGGGCAGCGTGTGATGCCCTGGGCTGGTTTTAAGACGCGCTGGAACGCTCTTTGTGTGCAATGGTGTTTTGTTTTGATTCATTGGAGGGGGTTTGCATCACGTCGGCCTTTTTCGGGGTCGGCCCGTGTTGCTCGTTGTTTTTTCCGCTCTGTCTGAATTGCCTCCTCACTGCTGAATGTAGGTTAAACAGCGGTGCTTAGGGGAGGCTAGACTTCACTAATAAGAACGCTGACCCTTTTTTGAAAATCTTTTGAAAAGCAACAAAATAGGTTGCTCAGGTCACTAAATTCATAAAATAACTCATTGGTCGCGAATCAATTGTTTTTAGTGAAAGGATATAATTCTGAAAACGCAGATTAGCTTCAAAATTTGTATTTGACGTGAGGATGTTACGCTGTAAGCGATTTTGAACGGACATCCTTCTCTTTATTTACCACACCACCACCGTTAAACTGACGGCTCATATTGGAGCACATCCACTTTTTATTAGTAAATCTAAATATACATTTTCTGCCGCCATGGTTTATTTTGTAATGTTCGCTGTGATTTGCTGCTTTTCCCAGAGAAAAGTTAAGTCAGTTAAAAATCTAATTCGACCATTAAAACTTTTGGAAGCCATCAAACTGCTCACTTTTACAAAGTTAACAATGTTTGTTTTGTCCTGTTAACGCTATATGCTTAACACTGCAATGGACATGTGATGTATTGAAGCCCCCCTTTCCCCCCCCAGCGTCCGAGGAGGATGTTCTCAAAGGCAAGCAGTCCATCAGGGGCCAAGCTCTGGGAAATCAAAACTCCGAGAGTGAGACATTGCTCGACGGAGACGATGACACTGTGTCGTCCTTAGAGGAGAAGGACCTCGACAACTTAACAGGTAAAGAAACATCTCGCTGTCTTCACCTCTCGCCGCTTTGCCCCACGGCCCAAACGAAATAAAGAAACGTGCCCCCGTTGTCACTTTCATGGAGCTCTGAACCTTTCATGTGCAGTTCCACTGTTGAGAATATATGAGCTATACATGCAATTTGTCTTGTCCACCAGGATCTACTATTTTGACCATATGATGTTATAGTTTTGCTTTAATTTCACAGTGTCTTGTTTTAGATGAGAATCCAAAAAAATCAAAATAAAAAAGCCTTACCGAACACAACACCTCTGGATGCCTCTCACTATTGCACCACCAGAGTACTGTGAAAGCACAGTGTGCTCAGTCTTCTGTCTGCTTCACAAACACACAAGAGCAGCACTCTGAACATGTTTTTGTTTTTCTTCTATGGGACAACATCTGCAGCAGAGCCTAAATAAAACCTCCCCTCACGAGACGACGTCCACCTTAAATGTGTCCTTTGTTGCTTTTGATCCGTCTCATATTTAAAGATTCCTAATTAAATATAATTTAGTCCTCTAATCGGATTGCAGTGTAATCCGCATTTTTTTTTTTCTGTGTGCGATGTGCTGTGACAGCCTCGACCAGACTAAGCTGCATTAATGGCGTTCAGAGTGCTATTAAAATAACGCGACTGGAGGACAACAGGATTAAATGTTGAATCCTGTCTAACAATAAAGTGATGTGTCCTGTGAGAGCTTTAGCTTCTCCGAAGCAGCTGTCTGCTTCAGGTGTGTTCGAATGTCTTTGACCGAATGGAACCAAACAAAAAAAACAAATGGTTATTTCAACGCACCGATACCATGTCAGTACCCAAGAGGGACACATATTTATATATTTCCACGCGTGCGTTTATCCCATCCGCCTGCGCGAGTGTGCGTGTGCGGGTGCTCAGGGAAATCAAGCCGGGCTCCGAGCGCCGTTTCTCCGCAGCGCACATCTGCAGATACAATGGCTCATATGCGCAAAGCCGGCCGGCGCTCCGAGCCGCATCTCCCCCGAGCCGGCCTCTCATTGTCATACGGGCATAAATTAAGATGGATGGGAGATTAAACAGAGCCCTCATTCAGCCGCCCGGAATCGATGCGTCCTGACTGACAGTCGATTTTCTGACATTCATTTCGCCACGTTGGACCCCGCTGCTCGTTTATTTCGGCGGGTTTTTGAGAGACAGGCCTGGAATATTTCGTTTGGATAGCTGTGTTTCCCACAGTGGGCAGCTCTACAGTTGTATTAGTTTATCTTGGTTTCACTGTAGACGATCAATTCCCGTAGGAAAACTGCAGGCGGTGTTTTGTCTGTAGCAGTTTGAATATAATGCAACGAACGCAAATAGTTGTAAACATCCAACATTACACACCAACGATTGTTCTCCATCAACCAGCCACGTGCAGGATTGCGGGCCCGCGCCGCGTTTCTGATGCGTTTACCTTTGCACTCCGGAGAGGAGGACATGTCGGCCTGCGCGTCTCTCTGACCGCCCCCCCATGCGTGTGTCCCCCCCCAGGCCCGGTGAACCTGAGCACCGGCGCCCAGCTGGTGGCTCCGGCCGCGGCGGTGAGAGGCACTCTGTCCATCACCGCCTCCGAGCTCTACTTCGAGGTGGACGAGGACGAGCCGGGCTTCAAGGCCATCGACCCAAAGGTAAGAGACCGCAGCTGCCTTGATCACGTGTGCGGCCTTTTCAAATGATCGCGTGAGTATGGTTCATATTCTAGCTCACGCGTGTGTTATTCACCTGCGTGTAAAAAGAAGATCCGAGTGATAATGTTGTCAATACGACACGTTGAGTGTCAGTGCGTCTGAAGTTACAATGTGACCATTTTAAATAAAATGGGGAGGAACTGTATTTGGAATATTTGTGTTTTTTCCACATTACTATTTACTGATGTAAATTTAACCTAATATTTGTAATGTTACGTTGGGACAGGAGATACTTAACAGATGGTCGAACTGTATCCGTGGGTAAAACATAACACATGGATCAGGTTGTCCCATTAGTTATTATAGGCTTTGGAAAAAATAATCAGCAGATTTTTAAAAAAAAAGACACGCAAAAAGGGCCCTGGTTAATAAACAGTCTTTTTTTTTTTAAACACGGTAACATTTGGACTAACATCGATAATCCTGCACGGTGTTGGCCATGGGAAACTGCTGACCCACAGGTGGTTGTTTGTGTTCTGTTTAACGCATGATCGGATTGGTTTTTAGACATGTGTAGTTCCCGATTGAAATATATTTATTTTAATAACATCGGCATTCATTGGAATTTGCTTTTTTAATTAAATACATTAATGAAAAAAACTTTACAATAAAGGCGTTTTCTAAAACCCACTGCATTGATCAGATGAAGGCTTCAGTTTTGCCGTGGGGCCTCTGAGACGCTCCCGGGCCTGTTTATTAACGCGAGTCCGTTGATTTACATTCATTCGAAGATCCTTTTAGAAGCTGTCACTGTAAAGAATAACGCGTGGCCTGAAGTCGGCGGTGCACATTACTTTTGAATTTAGCAAACGCGTCCATTTTCCTTTTCCCGGTGTTGATCGCAGGTCCGATGCCTCTCGTCAAAATGAATCTCTTCATCGGACAATAGCAAAAATAAAATGCAACAGATGTGCCTGTCATATCAGCTGTCAAAACACGCCAGGACACGAGGCCGAGTTGTAATTTAATTTGCAACATTTTATTAACATTTCTTTTAAGGTCACATAATGAAAAAAATTGAACTTGGCACGCTACATTTTTTCACTTAACGATTTTGTGCATATATTTAAATAAGTGTCTTCACTTTGTGAAAACATTTAAAGAGGACAACTAAAAGTCATTACATTTATCTGAAAATGTACCTTCACTTTATCTCTGCCAGTGGCCCGATTGCTCCATTTAAAAAGGGTTTTGCGTTTTCCTCGCTGCATTATTATTTCTTTCTTTTCACATTGCTTGGAGAATCAGCTGCAGAATCGTATTTGTCCTTCTCTGACGTTTTATCACCCCCCCAAAATGTCTCTTCGGCTCTTTCTCGACAACCGCTTTATAGTTTGTCCAAACTCTTCGCGTTGGTGAGGATTTCCCTCGCTAGTCTCCACGTCTGCTTCGCAGCAGCCTCCAGGGCCGAGTGCGGCTTCCCCTGAAACAAGTCCAAGTTTGGCAAGAAGTAGTGGGGACATCTGCGGCACTGCAGACAGGAAATGAGCTGCAGCAGGATGCCGTTCAGTCGGTCTCCGAGGCAAGACTCGTCCCAGTCGGTCTCCCTCGGGTGCTTCTCGCACTCGTACAGCAGCAGGGTCTTCATGTGGTAGTTGTGCAGCGGCTGTCCCGGGAGCTCCAGGTGACGGTCGCGCAGAGTCTTCAGGACGGACAGGCACTTCTTCCTGCAGCCGGCCATCAGCAGCCGGTTCTCGGCCTCGCTGAACTGCAGCACCCAGGCGTCGCTCTCCGCGGAGCTCTGCTTCCCCGTCAACGAGTAGCACTCTTTGGAGAGCAGGTTGAAGCCCTCGGCCTTGACTTCCGCCACGCGGTTGGGACCCGGCCAGGGGATGTGGGGCATGGGCCACTGGGCCGCGCTCCTGGGCCAAATCCCGGTGCACTTGAACGCGGGCGTGATCTGCACCACGTACCTCTCCCTGATCCGTAGCCTGACCTCGCTGGTGTCCGCCACCATCTTCACCACGTCGCGGTAGCTGCACTTATCCACGGCCTGCGCCACCAGCGTCTGGAACCTGGAGCGGATCTTTCTGGCCGACAGGTAGCCCGAGGCGGTGATGAACTCGACCCACAGCGACATGCTCCTTTTGCGGCCGTCGCTCAGCTTCAGCACCGCGCAGCCGGGCAGGGAGCCGTCGTCCACGAAGTTGAACACCCCCATCTGGTTGAGGTAAAGCACCACCTCGAACTCATTGGGGGAGATGACCTCCATCCCCTCGTAGCGCGCGTCGATCTCGCTGAGGGAGCTGATGAAGCGCGGCTCCTGCACCTCCACCTCCTTCAGAACGTCCGACACCACTTTGCAAACCTCCCGTATGGTCTTCGCGATGGCCGCTTTGCGAGCTTGGCATCGCTCGTTGTGGTATTTGTTGAGCTGGTAGACCAGCTTCGCCTGCGTCGCGATCATGTTTGGGCAGAGGTCCGGGCCGTACACCGGGGAGTCGCAGTAAGTTGACGGATCCAACGCTGACCGGTAAAGCCCGAGGCAAACGCTTCCCCGCGCAGGAACAGTGTGTAATCAAAAAAAAAAAAAAAAAGAAGAAGAAAAAAGTTGTTTGGCTTTTTTTGTGTGTGTGTGTGTGCAGCGGATGGACGTCAGCGTGAGGAGGAGGAAACGGATAGGGATGCGACGGTATTCGCCCCCGCGAGATACAGTCCGAACCTCAACAGCACTTCCAGCAGATTCGCGTTTGGGCTTCTGGGTCGAGCATCCGTGTCCTGGGCCGCGCACGCTGAAGGCTACCGTCGCCCGCTGACCAGCATCTTATATTCTCTCCACTGCGTCTCCGCTCACTTTGTCGTCCACACTCAGCTGTGAGCTGGACTGGTGTAGTTTATGAATGGTTCCTTTAGCAAGAGTGAAAGGGGGTCGGGCTTCTCCCTCCTGCAATCACGTGCGGAGCTGTCAGTGCAGGCAGCCAATCGGAGTGGCGCAGAGCTGCGGTCCGCCTCGGCGGCATCGGGAGTGCGCGGAGCGGGTGTCCACAGCTCGTGAGCCGGCAACAGGGACGCAGAGACCAAACGGTCCGCGCGGGCACGTTGAAGTGCGTGCTGGTTCGGACATGCAGCAGTAAAAACGTCTTTTTCATCGTTGCTCTTTGTGCGTAATTTCGCCCGCTACGTTGTGAGGAGTATGAGTGTGCGTCAAAGTATGAGTGACAGCTGTAACTTTACACTATTCTAAGAGTCTTTTGCTGTTTGGTTTTAATCGAGCGTGTTTTTTTCTGGCGCTTTTCTCTTATTGGGAAGGCTCCATAACGGGTGTTTTTTCTTTTATTGAAAGCAAGCATTGCTTCTTCTCATCCAGTAGCACATACTTTTTCATCACGGATCTGAAAATGAATAGCGTCTATACATTTATTTAATGTGTGATTTACATGTGTCTATTTAGACACGTTGTGCAGACATGGTCAGCTATTTGCAAATTTAATCAAAACTTGAAAAATAAAAGTCAATTCATGCCTTGTATTTTTATATTCTTCATTTAAGGTAAGTTCTAAATATCTTTCATTGAGTCATTTAGTGTATTTTGCATTGCATTAATTTAAAATACAGAATTGTGTTTTACTAATCAACTTAATATTTCCAGCTGTTGAATATTTGTTTGGCCGCTTTATTTTTTGAAGTTTCAAATAGTAATTGTCTCGTGTGCACCTGCTGCTTAGATTCAAATACCCTTGAATAGAATTATCGAATATTATAAACTGGGATGATCTCATCAATCCACCAGATGCACGTTTAAAAAAAAACTAATCAATTGATTAAATAGTTTTGAACATTTAGTGTTATTTAAAAAATTGAAAGAAATTGAAAACAAGATCCCTCGAGCGCACACACGCACACACATGAGCGTGCGCGCGACAATTCGCCCGTGAGGTGTATCGCCCCGAGCCTTGTCCATGCAGAGTAATTGAACCAACGTTGTATTTGACGTCCCCTTGTCACCATGACTTGATGAAGAAGTCATTACATTCTCCCGCAGACAAGCGGCTGCGGCGCGAGACCTATTTCGCACGCGTGGAATATAAAAAAGTGACAGTCTTGTGAAATGTTTAGGCGCACGAGTGTTGCTCCCTGTTATCTTACCGCGTGTCCGCTATCCCAGTTAACGAGGTCACGTGCACAATAAGGCGTAAACAAGGAGTTTTCTATGCTGCTTTTGCGTCATGACTTCGGTTTAAAACTTGTTTTAATTACAAGGGATTGCCTTAAAAAAATATATATCAGACCTACATTATTAAACAGACATTCCAGTTAGTCTGAGGGATGTTGAATGTCTTGCTCAGAGACAGAAAGCTTGACTGAATACCTACAAACAGCTAAATTATGGAAAAATGTCTTCACATTTTCTCTCATGCTTCCTGTTGAATCTGCAAACCAGAGGCCATAAAACTCAACTGCTATTTTTGTTCAAAGTAAATACAAATAAAATATGCCTGTATGCAAACACGTCCTACAGTATCCTTGCACCGGGATATTGATTGAGCTTTGATTTCCATAAATCCATTTACTGATATATGATCTGGCCAACTATGCAAGTTAGCCACAAACATTTCAGTAAAGGCAATGATTAAGGAACCCCCGCCCCCCCCCCCCCCCCCACAACCTCTATATCCAACACGTGGCCAATTGAGGGCTATATTCTTCTGCTTTTTGCGGGGTGTGGGTATAAAAACAGGTGTTTAGAACAGACCGAAAATTTTGCGTGCATGTCAACAAATCTGCTGTCAATTGAAAACATAAAACACATTCAATATTATTTATACTGGGTTGCATCATATTTTTTATTTTATTTTTTTAAAGACCGTAACATCTAAAGAAAATGCAAAAAAAAGCAACAGTTGACTCTATTGTGACATTTTTCAATCAACAACTTAAGAAACAACTTACTCATAGTTAAACTAGGATTTGGCATTTCTCCCCTCCATATCTTCAAGTAAAAACAAGAGTTATCTCACTGTGTACAAGTGAGGAAAAAGATGGAACCCAAAAGGAAAAAAACGTCTGGATGTTAGATTTCTGGATGACTCTCTATTATCAAGCTCACCGCTCCAGATAGATTAATCGACTTGGAGAGCAAGTGTCCAAATATTATGAAGGACATGTTTTAATGAAATCTACGGCGCCCGGCAAAAGACACTATAAATCCTATAAATGCGCCGCTCTGCACGTTGCAGGTGGAAAACAGAAATAGGAGAAACTTTGGGGGCATTTGGGGTAGTGTTTTAGCTTCTATTCAAATATTTTCTTCTTTCAGATTATACCCCTTTTTAATAGTAGGTGTGTAATATATATATATATATATATATATATATATATATATATATATATTGACAAAGGCTACCTCACTCATTCATCTATTCCCGCTGCTTCATTGTGCTTTTTATCTACTGAAAACGTGGAGACTTATCTGTGGTTCCTAAAGAGTTCCCCCCTGGTTAATATTGATGGGATAAAAGATCAGGGGCCTGTCAGAGAGCTCTTTGATCTGAGTCAGTGTGACGACTCCACGGTGATCCCCTCCCGAGCACAAAACAGTGTCCATGCAGTGCAAATCTCTGCCAGCTGATGAGTGACCTCATTGGCTCTCTCATCTTTTTGTTTCTTTTTCTCTTCTCCTGTACTGTCTCTGCTTTATTCTCCTTTTCCCCTCTCGCTCCGATTACACGGAGTACAGCCAGGTGACTCATTACCTTGAGTACTACACTGGATTCTTGACATGGTTTGCAATTAGTAAAATGACCTCAAAGACCTCGTTTGGCTTTCAAACGTATTTGTTCCCTTTTTGTAATATGCTTCTCTCTCATAGATGTAAAAAAACAAACACATGTGGTCATTTGACCAGTCCTGTTCATCTACTTGTTGACTCTACATGTGACAAATACAAAGCAAAAGCAGGCTTAAGTCATTTACAGCAGAAAGGCAGGCAGATATATATATACAATGACTTTGTATCGCCTTCTTCAGATTGGAATAACCAACGTTTCCTCCCTCCTGTCGTTTTGGGTTAGCGTGCTTTGTGAGAGATGGCGGTGTTGAGGCTTGATATTTTTTTGGTGGATGCCTTTTCTCCTTCTTCCGCTCTCTGGAAACACGAGAGGTGCTGGGAAAGTGGCTCATTTTTTAACAACACGCGCGCACGAGCCGACATCGGCACACGTGTGAGCGGAGCGAGTACATTTTGATGCACGTTTCTGTTGCTGTCTCCTAAACCCGGGTGGACCCAGCTGCTCCCGCCATAGAGGGCTCAAAGAAAATCATCGCAGGCAACTAATTGCCTGGCAGGCCTCCGCATCTGCTCGGCAGAGAGCAGAACTGACAAAGTCACGGAGCAGATGTGTGTTGGTACGTGTGTTTGTGTTTAGCAGCTCCCTCTCTGTGTTTAGACTCAAGACATCAATATTGCATGTAGAGTTATTGTTGCAGAGCCACTCCTGGAGACTACTAATATAGCATGAATGAGGAAGTGAAATTTGCTCTACTTCCAGCTGATTGGTCCAAGGAAATAGCAGCAAAAACCTGATTGGAGGATGCCTCCCTTAGATCCACATTGAGCTCTGAGTGTATTAAAAGCTGTTGGGTCCAGAGAGTAAACTATTAACTCATTCTGACGAAGTTGGAAATATATTTTGAAAAAACAAATAAAGTTGCAGATGGGAAAGTCGGGCCCTGACTTGTATGCCCATGTCAGTATGAAAAGAAATTACTTTTTACTTTACTTTTTTAATACATTTCAGATACCTGATTAGTATTCTAGTGGAACACCTTTAGGGAGCAATGTGTGACAATCAAAGAAAAAGGTATATGTACAGACTGTAAAACACAATCCTCACTTTTAGTTATTTTGCCTCATATGACGTAATTTCACAGTAATAAACTGTAAAACGTGGCCAAAAAATGAATCCCAGCAGATTTATCTGAATCATGTGAAGGTCCACACTGTTTCCAAAAAGTTTTAGCCAAAGGTCAGATGGGAAAATATTTTGCAAAGAACATTAATAAATTGTCCCTAAAGGTCTGTGTTCAACTTTGGACTATGCAATGATAAAACCCCCGCTGAGAAGACATTGGTTACTCTAATTAGTGGGGCGGTGACGGCTTCTCGGGGTTAGCTGGAGTGGCAGAATGGAGGTTCTCTGTCAAAGGAAACCGCCGCGTTGTAATGTAGCAACCAGTCCCACGTCATTAAGCTCTCCCTAAAGTGTCAAACTGCTGGGACTGCACCGTCCCACCCTCCCCCTGCTCGCTCCGCCAAACTCTCATGGTCACCAGGGACGACCTTCGGCTGCAGCTGCCAATCACAAAGAGCCATGGCAGCCAAAGGTCTCTGAGAGAGGAGCCTATTGATTTTCCAGTTAGAGCCTAAGTAGTGTGTGCTATAGGACTAACGGACAGCCCGAGCAGGTATGTCATTATCAATGAGGCCGAGGAAACGGATCCTCTCTCTCCTCACTCATTCATATTGGGCCTCGCTCCCTTCCACTATCCCTCCTTCATGCTGCTCTACCATCCACCCCCTCCGCTGTCTTCCCCGGGCTCTGACAGACTGCGTCCTGGGATGGTCAATAAATCGCTCAGCCACACCGCGACAGCAACCGGCGGAGTGATGGGTCGGGATGACCTTCTTTCCCGTTCTTTCCCCTCTTTCCTTCAGCCGGCCCCACCGTGCTTTCCAGGTACAGTAATTACAGCACCTGTGAGACATGAAACGTTTCCTTGCCCGAGACAGACTCGTTAGCGCCACAGCTGTCCCGTATTCCTCTCCGAGTTCCTCTTTCCGCGAATCCTAACAGCCTGGGTCAGTTTAATCACCAGCATCGTTCCCCGCAGCCCAGTTTGGCTC